ACTTCAAATGACCAAATCCAACAAAACAAAAGACACAAGAGAGACAATTAAGATAACTGAGCTGTTTGTGCAATGCTGCCTCATTAAAAATCTTTCTAGGTAAAACTCACCCTTGTGAGAAATCCTAGAAGAGACAAAGAGTGCAGCACATCTCTTAATTAAGTCCTAAACATGTTCAAAAGTCTTAAGTCTCACAGAAAATAGATACAGATTATAGTTATAGATCACACCTCTAGATGTACCAGCAGCACCCCTAGATCTAGCAGACAAAGTACTCTTACACATTTTACAGGTAGCTTTAGTGCAAATCTTAACTCCATTCATAGTCTCATAGATCTCATCAAAATCAGCCACACAGCAGATTTACACTTACCAACAGAGGTACCAGTACCAGCAACAGATAGAGTAGAGCTGGTGGAGCCGATTGTGGTCCCAGTCGTCGTTGCCCCTTCACCACCACCGCCGTCCAGATCGATCGGAGCATAGCCTTCTCCGAGATCGATACTGAACAACGCAGCAGCGTCGTCACGGGTGTCGTCGTCGTTCTCGCCCTCGGGGGCAGCCTGGCGGAAGGACGCCATCGTCTTCAGCCATGGCCTCTCCAGCCCCATTCCTCAACGGTGCGAGTGGCCGCCTTGCTCGCTCTATGCCACATCTAGAGGACGAAGCATCGGCTACCGACCTGCGCAAAGAGATGAAGGAGGAAGAGGAACAGACAGAATCAGAAATAGTCAGACAGATCAAGATAGAAGAAGAGGGTTAGGGTTAGGGTTTACCTACGTAACTAGAGCTAGGTGCCAAAGAAGACGACGGCCCCCAAGAGAAGATGACACACCGTTAGCAAGGATGACGAGCGACGACGGAGGGAAGACAGTAATAAGAACTCACATAATCACCAAGATCTAGAGGGGTCGAGGGGAGAGAGGGAGAGGGAGACGGGAGAGAGGGAGGGTATCTGGGAGGAGGAGAAGGGAGCGGCTCGACAGCGGCAGGCGGATCGAATCGAGGTCACCAGAGACGGCGAGGCGAGAGCGAGAGCGACTCGAGAGGGCGGAGCGGCACGGGGTGCCTAGGTGGGGAATGAGATGATCGAATGATTTAGGGTTTGGTGAGGGAAGGGAGAGGGAGCCGGCGCCGCTTATATACGAAGGGGGAGGCGGAGAGCAGCTAGGCCGTCGCCTTGGGCCGTGGGGGAGAGGGGGTGGCGGGCCGCTGTCGGGCCGACCCTAAAAAGCCGGGTCGTGCCATGCTAGCCCACGGGCCTAGGGTACGGCCCAGGCATGGCCTGCTGTACCGGGCCGTGCTCGTGTCGGGCTAAAAAAGCGGGCTTCGTGCTGTGCCGTCGTGCCTCGGGCTGCATGGACATTTATACACACACCCCTACATTTCCACAAGCAAAACATGTAGATGGTAGTACAATTGGCTTGCAGCTGCAGCCGGAATGGCTGCAATTAATCACTACTGAACAATAAAGCTTTTGAGTGTATAAAAGTTGAAACAATTATCAGCACAATGGCTGCCGTTCATGTATCATGATTACTCTTATTTAGTTATTTTGTGACTTTTCATTCATCACTGTATGCAAAGAAGGGGACATTTTCCAGTAAACATGTAAATATATGCTATGACCATAGGAATTTCAGGTTGACATCAATGAGAAATCAATGCTACAAAAAGGTGACTCACTAAGTGAAATATACCATCTGAAATTTGTAGCCTGAGATAGATAAAACTAATCATCATGGCAATAGCCAAATCAAGCATCATTGAACTTCCATGTATTTTTTAGCAACAAGATCAAAACCAATAAATCAGTGGGCATATATCAGAAGTACTCCATCTATTCCAAATTATAAATTATAAGTCACCTTGACTTTTTTTTTGTTTATCCATTTTGCTATGTACGTAGACATATTATTTATTTAGATGCATAGTAAAATGGATATACCAAAAAATGAAAGTGACTTATAATTTGAAACGGAGGGAGTAAAAAAGAATCATGCCAATTATCTACCAGTCACATGTGAGTAGAAATTATTTGAGAATTTATCAACAAGTGGCAACGCTACGAATTGGCATGTTTGGAGACCAAACAATATATCTCTCAGCCTTCCCACGTCGATAGTGCCGCTAAGTATTTGATCAAAACATACAAAATTCTGATGTCTTGTTGTAAATAAAATACGCCTTAATTGTCCTTGAATGAAACACTATTAGCTGCATCCAATCCAGTTTATTATTTCGGGCGGTCGGGCCTGTTGTTTGTGAAGTCTGACTTTGAGCCCAGGTAGACGACCGCCTCCACGACGCAGAGGAGATTCATCCATCCATCCTTTGTTCTCAAGCTCTGCTTATTCAACTTGCAGTCAATTAGGCTCTATGATCTTTACTTGCGGCATCTCTAACTATTCGGTTAGCGTCTTTCACTTAATGAATCACGCGTTCTGCTCTTGCCAACCAATCTCGGCGTGCTGCGCCAGCTGACCTTTGCAACGCTGGAAGCCTGGAAGGAAGCAAATGGACCCAGCAAGCAACGTTGCTGGCTGTCTAATTAACAACCACATGGACCAGAACATCTGCCGGCCATCAATCCCATCCCAGCCGGCAGCCGCCGTTGAACTGGTACAGTACAGGTGGTAGGTTTCAGCTGGCGGGTCGGAGCTTCTTGACGCTTTTGACTCTCCGTGCGGGCCAAATCCATCCGGCGGCAGCACGGTCATCCTTCTACCTGTCAATCCTTGACTTTTTTTGAGGAAACAAGAACAAAAACCCACCGAAAGGATTGACATTTTTTCTGTCACAAACAGATAAAAGAAATAGCAGAAACTTCTTCCTAAGTTTGGATCAAAGAAAATGACAGATCCTCATTTTCCTTGAATTCCAGGTCCCATGCATAGAGATTAGAGAACCTTGCACACAAATTTATTCAAGCTATAAAATTGTTCAGGCAAGCATGAAGATCGTCTGATCTTTCTATATAGCCTCAAAAATTTCATAACTCTAACCAGGGAAGCATGAAGATGAATCGACTAGCAACCAACCACTCACCACTAGTGGTAGCAAACGCATCATCGTATGCCTCTATATCTTGACCTATATGAATGAAGCATTAAAAATTGGTACATCTGAATCTTTCAGACAGTGAGGTTCAGCCGGTCATAACTTAATTCGCTAGCGCCTAACCACCAAACGTCGCTGCAGCTGATTTAAGTTGGTCCACGTGTAGCCTGGAAGATTTTGTCACCGGCCCAAAGGCTACTTCTCCGACTCCGGTGAAGTCAGCTGCCTTAGGTTGAACTTTGAGAGCTCTTTGTACCTTTCCACGACTCCAATCATGCATGTGGCCTGCTCGAGTGTCAAACAATGATAGCCCATCAGAACTTGCACTCAGCTTTATGAAAATTCATGCTAACATAATGATATGACAGGATGAAACACACAGAACAGAAAGCAGGAAAATACTAATAATGGGATAAAACATAAAAGCATGATGTACCAAGTGATCTTGGGACACTTAGGAACATACAAGTTAGTCAATCTGTATTAAAATTTGATCATTTGCTTGTAGTGATGCATCTATCATTTTTACTTGCCAGAGGCACACATGTCCAGCACCTACAAATGCGCTATATAAGTGACAGTGCAGATTGCTGCCTTCATAAACATCCAGGAGCAACATTTGGTCATTTCTAAATGACAAACTAAAGCATCCTGCGAGTCAACATTTCAAGTAAGAATGGGTACACATCACACTAATGTGGCAATTCTAAAGCAACCATGAGGAGAAAAGGAACATAAGGTAGAGGATGAGTTCCCCTATCTACTAGGCATTGTATAAATACCACAGGAATGGTTACCACATGCACAACAGATTGTGCTATCAATTAAATCAGATCAACGCGGGTGCATTAAATGGGATCTATATATGTGGGACCAAAATTAGTTGCCACTACAACTAAATAAGATGTGACATAGCAACTAATTCAAAAGCGTAATAGTGTTGGTCCCAAAGCTTTAACTGTCATGTAAATTTGGAGAAAAATGGTTGGAGCTTATCATGCCTTCGAACTCAAGTCTAAAAGGACAAAGTTCACTCACTAATTTCAAGGTTTCAAATAGCGGGCCATAGCACCACTATAGCGTTTCTAGAGGGTTGCCACTAGGATATGCAGTATATTGACGTTAACGCAGCTACTACTGATATTGCAGGCAATTGCGGCGCTAATCAGCTTAGCAGCAATGTTATTTTAGCAGCACTAATCTGGTCCTCCAGACACAGGCAAGCGCTGCCTCGTCGTTGGCTGTCTGCTCGACAAGCTCCTCACATGAACCTGCAGCCATGCACCAACGCCAGCTCGTGGAGCATGATGTGCCCAGTCACACACAGGCCCAGCAGTGCAAGGGCTCCGCACTGCCCGTGCAGTGCAAACTCAGTGATGCAGAACAGGACGTCTCAGCCTACATGGCTGCCAGAGCTTGCTGCACTGGAGAGTAATTGCAAGGCGATAGCAACTTTGCGGTGGGTATGGTCATGTGCGTGTGCAGCAGCCAGGAAGCAAGATGCTCTTTTCTTTTGTCTTTTAATAATCTGCTGAATGGAAAAGCAGCTCTATAGTAGCTGGAAAAGCACGTCACTAAACCCTTTAGCCTGCTATTATTGACTAATTTATATGAATAGAGTAGAAATGGCAAGTAGGATCTTAACTCTGAACCTCATGCCACCAACATATACAGATAAAACAAGGGCACCAGGAAAAATACCTTGGGAGTTTGTAAACCCCAAATAATATAATGGAATTAGTTATTTCAAGAGAATAATTTCAAAACTCAAATAAAACCTGAGCTGTAGAAACTATGCTATACAAGGATATGAAGGCAATATTTGAAATTCAAAAATTAATTAGGAAACATGAAGTAAAATAAGTAACTGCAGAGTTTGACATGTTCTCTCTTTATTTAATAAATGTTCAGTCATTATTCCCTCTATTACCACATGCACATCACCACAGCAGGTATAACTAGAAAAAGGCACAATGTATCAGTCCACAAGCATATTACAAATAAAAGCATTTACCTTTGCAATCTGGACAACAATAGTCTTGTCTGGGTTGCTCAGGTCAACTTTATGAGGTTGTGGTACAGATTTCGCTACTGCATTTATGATTTTCATTCTATCAATTCCTGTGTTTGACCTTGCTTCATATAACACTGCAAACTGTATGATTAAAGTTCCGAGTTAGAAACCATGTCCAATTCCAGGTAATGAACAAAGAGAACAAAATACTTGTTCAGAATATATGTATGGACGTTATAGTTTGTCTGGTTATGTTTCACACACTTCCTTGGATGAGAAAACACAGGAGTATAATTGCCGGGTGATTCATATTAAGGAGCATGACACTTATAAACTGATTCACTGAACTAAATCAAACTTATCTAAGAGTAGCACTGTCATCGCAAAATCAAAACTGTACCTAATCCATTCATAACACGAACATATATGATCTAACACACAACCTCCACAAAAATTAATAGTCAGTACCAAGAAAAGTAAAATAGTCTTTTTTGCAAACTTCAGACCTGGCTACCATGGGATAAACTATATATCATTCAAAATCCAAATCCATCTTAGCCTACCCGAAAAAACCCTACGATCTTTTTAATACAATGAACAGAACATTTAATGGTAGGACATGAAACAAAAGTATTAGACATCATTATTTCAAGTAGAGAGCCAAAAACTTCTGAGTAAAAAGATAATGGCATTTGAAATAATGTTCCTATATTAATTCTAGGACTTCAACAAAGTAATAAAGACACTGACTGTGAGGCGCTGTAGGAAAAACTCAGACAGCAAATGTTTCAGCTGTCACCAGACCATTCGTCCCTAACAAAAGGATTCCAAGAAAAATGATGAAGCAATGAGGTAGGCAACTTGCCTTATGGCCTGAAAGGGCATTCTTTTGGGAAGTATTTTTCAACAAGGGGACTAATTGCCTTTGTTATTTCCTCTTCGGATGCATAGCGTGCCACCTCAGCAGGCAAAACTCGCAGAATAAATCTAGTATGCATTCAGATGGGTAGTTTATAAGTGCAAAAGCATCTCAATAATCTGTATCATCAAAGAAAAACAGCATCTTTAAAAATGAGAATTAACGATGACAAGGGAAGATGGGCTGCAATAGCACCAAATCTGAACCTTGACATATGTTTGCGAGTCGAAGCAGCAGATGACATCATGTTTTGTACAATCTCAACTGGACCAGGGTCTTCTGCTCTTTTATGCATTTGAATGAATATGCATCCATTGCAGCCAGACTCAAGGCTTGCAAAGAGCCTCTGTTCATAATACAAAAAGTCATATAAGTTAGAATATAATGCCATAAACCGTAGTGGAATTTTTTTTAAGAAAACAAATACATAAAAAGGGCGTACCCAGTGCAGAGAGCTCCCGCTCTATGCGGGGTCTGGGGAAGGGTGTTAGTGGCAAGCCTTACTCTCGCCTGTGCAATGCGAGGAGACCGCGACTCGAACCCGGGACCTTCCGGTCACAGACGGTAAGACTCTACCGCTTGCACCAGGCCCGCCCTTCACTGTTTCTAAATATGTAACATTAAAAAAAAATTGACTGTTTCTAAATATGTAACATTAAAAAAAAATTGACTGATAGAATAGGCAGCATATATTGTTTGAAAGTTCATATGCCTTTATCTGTATGCATTCTATATCAGATACATGTGTAATTCTTAAGGGGCATGCATTCCCTAATACAATGTACCTGCAGGTAATACATCTGAAGGAAACCAATTCATTTCCTTCACATAATGTCCCTATTGTTTCATAACATATACATGCTGTCCTTTTCTTCTGGCGCCAAGACCTATTTTGCTAAACATCATTTCTATAATAGCCAATGATGTGTGCTATTTTGGAATGATAAATGCCTTTTTTTGTTAGGAGGCTGATGGATAGCCCTCACTTACATTATTCTGAACATTGCAATTGACTCTGATTCATCTATTGCCTTGACTAACAGGTATGGAGGTCTTTGGTCTACCTTTCAAAGGGAATGAAGTTGTTTAGTTCTGCATTTCAGATGTTTGAGCATGTGAATTCACTGCAAAAACTGGTTGCCACAACCTTGGGTGTTCTGATGCAGCACTCACTGTGCCTTTGGAGAAGTGAGATGATAGAGAACTCAAGGTTAGTCCCCTGCTCATGCATTGGTCAGCCTAAGAGCGCACTATCAATTTAAATTCATCACTGCTAATTGCAAATCCAAATCTAATGAACCTTTATGCCTTCTGTGCAACAAAAAATACGAATTGCGGCTAGCCTAAAATTATGTGCTTTAAAGTTAAATCTACTTTTTAATGACATGGCTAGGATGTCTGTGCTTTTAGGTTGCCCTTGAATATTTGATACGACATGTAATATTCCATTCCTATCCTAGGAAGTTACTTGCTTTCCGGCTTTATTGAAACAGACTTCACTTGGTGCATGTGGTCATAATATAACTACCAGTGCAATAAGAAAAACCCTCATCTGCCTTTTGTAATTTAGGGGAATTAGCTATATGCAGCGATATGAGATTCTTATCTATATGCAGCGATAAGAAATTCTTATTGTCATTTACTTATATAGATACAGATCCTACATGGTCTTAGTTTACTTGGCAAGCATCATCAACTAGATGATATAGGTCAAGGTTAATATTTAATAATACAACTTGCCTTTTTCAGCTTGCTCTGTTGTGCCCGCGGCAACGCCCGGGGTTCCAGCTAGTTGAGAAAGTCATGCGCGCGCTTGGTCGCAGGCTGCAGCACAGCTTGGTCGCTGTCCGTACAATGTCCCGCCGCTCCCGACGGCTCGGCACGGTCAGCACAACCACGAGCAGGCCGAGCTCCGGCAGCCGCGGCGGCGTCGGGGACAGCGGAGGCCTTCTGCTCGTCGGCGTCCGACACAATGGAGTAGTAGCCGCCGCCGTCGGTGCCCGCGCCGCGTGCAGAGCATGCCGAGGCCGAGGCCCTGGGAACGGGCGTGGGAGGAGCTGAGGCTCTTGAGCGCCAGCAGCAGAGCGAGGAGGCCCAGCGGCACCACGAGGTACGGCGTGCAGAGCGAGGCAGTGTGGAGCCTGTGCGAACGAAGTGGTTGACTGTTATTGGGTTTTGGATCTTTGTGCTATTGCTAACGGGTATTGCAAATCTGTCAGTTTTTTTGTTGGTGACGTGTTAGCTGTTGATTTGTCTAAAAGTTCACAGATTTCTGGTTGGTGGTTGCAAAATGTGTCGCCAGATGTATAGACTGACCCTTATTATATATATCTGCATAAAATATTTAAACAAGAGATTGTTGATAAAAAAATCTGCCGAAGCGTGCATAATGAACTCCACCGTCATGTTCCTATCCTATTGTCGAGACGGTCGAAAATATATAACTAAAGGTTTTTTATATAACTAAAGGTTTTTTATAACTTTTTCAAACCCTCTAGCCAACTCGAAAACATACCTCGGTATATAATTTGGGTCTTTGTTGGCCCCTAGATAAAGCTAGAGAAGAGCAGGCCTGACATGGGACAGCGTAAGAGGCACTCAGCAGCCAGGAATGGTTTGCCCGTAGAACTGTAGAAGCACCGCCCCCTAATTGCATGCCATGGCAGCATGCAGAGTCAGACCAGGAGCGCTCAGAGTCAGAGGTTACAGGCAAACCATTCCTGGCTATCAAAGATGGCCTCTTACTTCCATGCGAGGCCTCTCGACCTTCTGCCTGCTGCTGGTCGTGCTTCTTGTGCATTGCTGGTGCTCTCCATTGCATGCCTGGGCATGTATTTATAACAAGGAGAAGGAGCCGTCATCAGATCAGGCCCAGGGCGGCAGGGCTGGAGCGACGACGACTTTGCCAGGGGGCAGCAGCGTGTTTGACACAACATGAAGGAATATTGGCCTTTGACAAGGAAAAGCAGCAGATCATTCCTTTCCTTTCCTTTCCTTTCTAGAGATGAGCATCCAGTGAAGGGATTTGCATGCAGTTGTTCACATTGCAAGGTTGACTCGTGCATGCACAGCTGGCAGGCAGGCAGAGGCAGGGGGCAATATTGCTCTTGTGCGTGGGCGGGGGCAGCTGGGCAGGCATATCGAATATACGTGCATGTGAAGAAGAACATAGCAGCATGGTCTTGTTGGCCGGCCTGTAGGAGATAAGGGTCATCGATCAGGTACTGAGCTGAGGGGGGAGTTGTCTGATTATATTCCTTCCAAGATAAGGCTGGCTGCTGCGACCGTTGCGCTGCGTCTGTACAGTGTACACTACACTTTGTAGTTCCGAGCAGATCGAAAAGGATCGGATCGTACTGACTGCATCTATAATAAAGAGGAGAGCACTAGACGGAGCTAGCAACAACGCTTTGGAGCCTGAAGAGCCAAGGGCGCCTGTAGAAATTCTTCCACAAGTCCACTCCATCCCCTGCAAAGATGAATTATGATTGAGGGCGACTACAAGGTTCACATCAACCCAATCCTAGTTGCGAGTTTGCGACTACTCACCTAGGCGTCGCCCTACTTCCTCGTCTAATATGAGCCTCCTCTAACTGAAATTAGAGGGACTCGTGTCACAGATCACTGGCAAGTGGGTCTAATTCTAATTAGACCGGTCGCCATCAGTGACACAAGTATCTCTCTAACTTAAGTTAATTAGAGAAGAACCGCCACCACTCCCTTCATGCTGCAGCTCGTTTCTAGTTCTACTAGCCTTCCGTCGGGGGCCATGGTACAACGAAATGCGAGGCCACTATTATTGGAGTAACTAGGTGTATCGATGGTAAGGCTGCCACTGCACGTTTCGGGTGTGATGGATTGTTGAGGCGGTAATTAAGGCCGTCCCCAATAGTGAGCGACATAGCTAGCTGATTAGGATTCGAAGTGTGAGAACCAAGGACGAAACCATGCAAGCACGCAAGTTTGCCTATGCCGCTCTCCTTTCTCAATTGTAGAATCAATTAACAGTGGGCTCCACGCATTGAGGAGAGAGAAGATGCAAAATAAAAAATCTTATAAGTGGAACCTATGTTGATGAGTTGGCACCAAATAGCTAGCAACTGGCTACGCCCTAAACCAAGAGACCGTGGCAAATCTCTTGGGAATAACATGAGATTCAGAATTGCCTTGGGATCTGGTGCCACTATTCTTCTCAAGGTTAACCACATGCGTGTTTTCAGTCACCTCGGCCAATACCTAACCCATGCGAACTGAGCTCGTTTCCTTTTAGCGCGTGTTTAGTTCACTGAATTTAGAAATTTGGGCTACTGTAGTACTTTCGTTTTTATTTGGCAATTAGTGTTTAATCATGGACTAATTAAGCTTAAAATGTTCGTCTCGTAATTTCCAACCAAACTATGCAATTAGTTTTTTTTCGTCTACATTTAATGCTCCATGCACGTATCGTAAGATTCGATGTGATGGCTACTGTAGCATTTTTTTTGGGAATTTGAATGGAAACTAAACACGCGCTTATTCTAGGATCGAGGAGCGGAGTGATCAAAGGTCTCCTAGAGATTATGAGAATGTGAACTCTAGATAGTGGGTTCAAGAATCTGATTTTGGATTAAAAAAAGAATAAAGTCTCCATATTAATTCCCAGGGCCTATTACTACCTTAGTTAGTCAGAGAAAATTGCTGAAATTAACCAAAACTACCATTATACAAATTTTAAATAATCTAGAACTACTCTTATTGTTTATCTACTATTAACGCGTACCATTCTCAAGAAATAGCTATTTATGTTGTCTTGGAATAAAAGAGGTTTCAAAGTCGCCACTCAAATTATCTTTTGATATCACGCATAATAGGAAGTAAACATAGTTCAATATAAGAGTTTAAAATTATACCATAGAAAAATATAAGATCCAATAGTATCAACCGTACAACTGAGATGATAAAAAAATCTGGATTGTCACATTTAGAGTTCAAACAAAAAAAAACAGAAAACTGGAGGAGTCAAACCGGCCTGGCAAGCAGTTCCTAGGGCGTTCTCGCTACGTGTTAGACCATGTGCAGCGTCGGGTGTGCTAGCCCTCACTGACATATGATTCAAATCAGCGTTAACCGGTCCCTTTTGGTGGACACACACACGATGACTTTTTTTTAAGTAGGAAATTGGAGTAAAAAATAAAGCAGGTTAAAAGAGTGCGAGCTAGGTTATTACATAAAAAAAAATCAAAAGTTATAATTTTCTGCAATTATGCGGGCACTTGCTAGTTAAGTGCGTAAACGAAAGGAGGCATGTAAAACAAACAAGGGTTAAATGGATCTATGTCATTATAATTTCACCGTTTTTGAAGCACGCCATTATGACTTCACATTATGCCAGTGCCATTGGAACTCTGAAGATGTTTGAAATACGCCATTATATACGTCTGGAGATGATGTGGACACACTGTCAGGCGTATGGAGCGGTCCCGTTATTCATATGGACAAGATTGCCCCCTTGCTCTTCTCTCTCACATCCAGTGACACATAGGCCCACTCGTCAGCCTTCCACACGTTCGGTCGCCTGCTGGTAGCGGGGGCGCGACTCGGCCAGCCACGCGCTCGCCTGGGGTGCAATGCAGCGGCGGCGCGGTGGCCCACCTACGCTCTCGCCCGCGGCGGTCCACCTGCAAGCAAGCCTAGTGGTGCCGCGACAGCCCCCGCGCGCGTGCGCTCGACGGTAATGGCGTGGCCGCCTCCTCATCCAATGGCTTCGCAGCAGTGCGCACGCGCTCACCCGACAGCGGCTCGGCTGGCCCGACGCGGCAGCACCCCGCGTGCTCGCCTAGCAGCAGCGCAGCGGCCTGCTCACGTGCGCTTGTCGGCCATGGCGCGATTGCTTGCTCGTTCAGTGGCGCAGCAGCATGCACGCACTCGCCCAGCAGTGCTCCCCTGCGGCATGTTCGCTCCGCTGGGGAGATGCGCCTTCGGCTGGCCGAGCTGCCAGGTAGCTACGCCAAGGGGACTGAGACTGTGGCGTCATCGGAACACGCCACCGGGCAGTCGTGCTGGCTCCACAGCCCCGCTGCACACACAAAGAGGAAAAACAGGAGCACAGAGACGTGTGGAGGTAGGGAAGGTCATGGGCTAGGTCCTCGCCACCGGTGAAAGCTCTAGTTTGGTTTTGGTGAATTGATGAAACCCTAAGTGCTAACCTAGTTTATCTAAGTGAACATGAGATAGGTAGCACTATTCCAAGTGGTGGAGCAATGGTGAAGATCATGATGATGGTGTGGTGGCCATGATGATCAAGTGCTTGGACTTGGAAAAGAAGAAAGAGAAAAACAAAAAGCTCAAGGCAAATGTGATATCAATAGGAGCTTTTTGGTTTAGTGATCGAGACACTTAGCGAGTATTGATCATATTTAGGATCGATAGTCATATTATTAAGAGGGGTGAAACTCATATCAAAATGCGGTTATCAAAGTGCCACTAGATGCTCTAACTCATTGCATATGTATTTATGATCTAGTGGAGTGCTAACACCCTTAAAAATGTTTGTGAAAATATGCTAACATACGTGCACAAGGTGATACACATGGTGGTTAGCATATTTGAGCAAGGGTGGAGAAGTTGGAGTTGAAAAGGAGTTGATCGCGCTGGTCACAGGGTGACCGGACGCGTCCAGAATTGGGACCGGACACGTCCGGTATGTTACCCAGGCTCGGGCTTATGTTGCAGACGTGACCGGACACGTCCGGAATTGGGATCGGACGCATCCGGTATTTGGACCCAAGGTAAGCGACTAAGGCAGATGTGACCAGATGCTCAACTTCAAGTGACCTGACGCCGAGCGTCGGGTCCAGTCAGAGGGGGCAGCGCACGCCAGGGTGTGTGACCTGATGCTGGGTTCGTCCGGTCGCATCCGAGCAGCTCTGGGAGCTCTATGGACTCAACCTGATGCTCCCTCTCCTGCGTTCGATAGATTTCTAATAGCGCGTCCGATCAACTAGTGTCAAGTGCGTGTAGAGAGAGCCGTTGGGCGCCAACGGCTACTTCGTTTGAAAGGGACACATGGTGGTCGAGCAGCGACCGGACGCTGTGACCAGACGTGTCCAGTCACGTCCGGTCGCCACACCGAACGCGTCCAGTCACCATGTAGACAGCCCAATAATGGAGGTAACGGCTCTATTGTTTGGGGGCGTCTATAAATAATGTTTGGCCGGCTCTAGCTCACTCTCTTGGCCATTTGTATTGACATAGCAATCTTGTGAGCTTAGCCAAAGCCCTCTCACTCATCTCCATCATTGATTCATCATCTTTGTGAGATTGGGAGAGAATCTGTCGATGTTTTACCACCGATAGCCTACCACGGGGGTACCCGAGGCAGTATGTTCGGGCTTCAACATATGCGGAACTCGACGGTAAACGCAAGAGACAGTCGATTTATCCTGGTTTGGGCCCTTGATCGTTGATCGAGTAATAGCCCTACATCCAGTCGGCGTTAGCCTTGTGTTGGATTGATTGTGTGTTGTTGCGTTGTAGGAGTCTCCTCCCTAGGAACCATGTCCTCCTTTATATAGTCAGGAGGTCAGAATCCTAGTCGGTTTATAATGAGAGTTCCTAGTAGGATTATAGAATAATACTACTACTAAGATTACATGGGGAGAATCCTAATTAGACTAGATCTTCTCTCTTCCTTGCGGGGTATCCCGTGGGTCCCGCATCGTCAAGCCCCCGAGCACTTCATGGTTGAGCTCCGGAAGCCTCGTCTTGTTCTTTTAGGTCTTGCCGAGCAGGAACAAGCGTCGTCCGAGTGCTTTCTTGAGC